TCGTGCAGCCGACGAAGAAAAGAGGCCGGATGTCGATGGCAGGGACCCAGGCTGACCAGCCGCTGCAGGTGGGTGAACTTGATAAGCCGACTACATCCCGCATCGACGAGCTTTTCGTTCGATCCTCCGCTTTCTTGCATTCAGAATCGAATCCCTGGTTTGCACTTCTCTACGAAGATAATCAGCAGAAGGTGCGACTTCGAATCCGTGAGTTGGATTTCACGCCGGGAACTTCGGGGACTTCGGCAGATGCTACTTTCACGGAGGTGCAGAAGTTGGAGGGGGGTGAATTTGGACAGGAGCTTGATCTTGGATCATCGCATCTTATCCCTATCCCGGCTCCGTTGGGCGGTCTCATTGTGCTTGGAGAGACGTCGATCAAGTACATCGACGATAATGCGAATGACGTGATTACGCGGCATCTAGAGGAGGCGACAGTCTTTGTGGCCTGGGAGAAGGTTGATAGCCAACGGTGGCTGTTGGCTGATGACTATGGGAGGCTATTCTTCCTGTCTTTCATACTGAACAACTTGGGCGAAATCGATGACTGGAAACTCGAGGATCTGGGTAAGACGGCTCGTGCATCGGTGTTAGTCTATCTCGGTGGAGGCATGGTGTTTGTTGGCTCGCATCATGGCGACTCACAAGTCCTTCGGCTCGATGGAAGCTCGTTTGAGGTCGTTCAGACATTGTCTAACATCGCACCGATCCTCGACTTCACTATTATGGACCTTGGGAACCGTACAAATGAGAGCCAAACGCATGAGTTTTCGTCCGGCCAGGCCCGAATTGTGACGGGTTCTGGTGCCTTCGACGACGGGACATTACGCAGTGTGCGCAGTGGTGTTGGCATGGAAGAGTTAGGTGTGTTGGGAGAAATGGAACACATCACTGATATGTGGGGACTGCAGACTCAAAGCAAGGACGACTTTTTGGATACGCTCATTGTTACATTTGTTGACGAAACGCGTGTGTTCCAGTTTAGTCCTGACGGCGAAGTTGAAGAGTTGGAAAACTTCCTGGGGCTTTCACTCACGGAATGTACTCTTCTCGCCACAAAACTTCAAGGTGGCCGTATTCTTCAGGTCACAGAACAACGAGTGCTTGTGGCTGATCTAGAAAGTGGAATGATAACATTTGAATGGGCGCCTCAGGACCGGAAGCTGATCACTGCCGTGTCGGCCAATGAGGACAACCTAGTTCTCGTTGTTAGTGGCCAAATTGTGGCGTCCTTTGATATCAGGGACAATGTCCAAATCATCGCGCAGAAGGATCTCGGCGCTGACCAGCAAATCTCTGGACTTACTGTCCCATCGACGCCAACGGGTGTATTCATCGCAGGCTTCCCCCAATCAGCCAAGGTGTCAATACTGGATATTAAGGACTGCGCTTCTCTTCAGACAAAATCCCTAGGCCCTACCGGGGAGAGCTTCCCTCGATCAGTTCTTGTAGCTGAAGTGCTCGCAGACAGCCAGCCTACCCTCTTCATATCCATGGCCGATGGCTGCGTCATTACATTCTCACTAAACCCAGCAGACTACTCGCTAAGTGAGATGAACAAGCTGGTCCTTGGCTCCGAGCAGCCCACATTCAAGAAACTCCCCAAGGGTGATGGCCTATACAACGTCTTCGCTACCTGCGAGAATCCCAGCCTGATCTACGGCTCTGAAGGCCGGATCATCTATTCTGCAGTAAACTCAGAGGGCGCAACACGAGTATGCCATTTGAACGCAGAGGCATTCCCAGATTCTATCGCTGTCGCAAGTGAGAAAGAGTTGAAGATCGCGCTGGTTGACAGAGAGCGCACAACCCAAATTCAAACGTTACCAATGGGTTCGACTGTCCGCCGTGTTGCATACTCCCCTTCAGAGAAGGCATTTGGAATTGGCACGATTGATCGCAAGCTCGAGAATGGCGCCGAGGTTGTCAAGAGCCACTTTGTCCTTGCTGATGAGATCATGTTCCGGCGTCTTGATGCGTTGGAACTGGGCCCTGACGAACTGGTGGAGAGTGTAGTTCGCGCTGAGCTCCCGGCAGGAAAAGATGATAATGGAAAGGAGATCATGAAGGACCGATTTGTTGTCGGCACGGCATTCGCAGACGAAGAACAGGAGGAATCGATCCGCGGGCGGATCCTCATTCTGGAAGTCGACCACGGCCGCAAGCTGAGCCAGGTCGCCGAGCTGCCGGTTATGGGCGCCTGTCGGGCTCTAGCTATGATGGACGATTGTGTTGTTGCGGCACTTGTTAAGACTGTGAGTACTCATGGAATGTATATTTGAACCCTCTATTAACAATATCCAGGTCGTTGTGTATAGAATCAGAATCAATAACGTTGGACCGATGAAACTCGAGAAGCTCGCTGCATACCGGACCTCCACCGCACCAGTGGACGTAACAGTCGTCGACAACCTAATCGCAGTGTCAGATCTCATGAAGAGTCTTTGCCTTGTCAGGTATACACCGGGCCACGCTGGGGAACCCGCCAAGCTGACCGAAGTCGGTCGTCACTATCAAACCGTCTGGAGTACAGCAATTGCCTGTGTTGGTGACGAGACATTCCTCCAAAGCGATGCGGAAGGAAACCTCATCGTTCTCTCACGAAATGAGAATGGTGTCACCGCACAGGACAAACACAGGCTGATTCCTACTAGCGAAATCTCACTAGGGGAGATGGTCAATCGTATCCGACCAGTCAATATCCCCCAGCTTTCCAGTGTTACGGTGACACCGCGGGCGTTCATGGCAACAGTAAGTCCATCCCAATTGACCGGCGTGAAAGGCTCATTTACTAACCTACTCAAAGGTGGAGGGCTCAATTTTCCTCTTCGCCGTTATTAACCCCGACCATCAAGATTTCCTCATGACCCTGCAAGCTTCTCTTTCCAAAAAGGTCAACTCATTGGGTGACTTGTCATTCGACAAGTTCCGCAGCTTCAGAACCATGGTGCGCAGTGCCGAGGCACCGTACCGGTTCGTGGACGGCGAGCTCATTGAACAGTTCTTGAACTGCACACCAAGCATGCAAGAGGAGATTGTGCAGGACATTGGTTCCTCAGACGTTGGGGAGGTTAAAAGGATGATTGAGGCCTTGCGGAGACTTCACTGATCTCTTGTGAGGTACCTATTTCTTTTGGGGCATTGGCGACATGTTACGAACTGTTCATGAATACAGATAAGATGCGACGATGGCTAGTCTTTAGAAGAGACCAGGATAAAAGTTCTGGCTCGGATATGACCGGATTGGATGCATGGTTTAGGTGAAAATAGTAGATTTATGACTTCCAAGTATACCTTCCCGTGCAAGATAAAGAGTTCTTAAAAGCAGTTGCTACGAGGATTCATAAAATTCACTTAAAAGCTAGAGGGGCCGTGAAGGTCCTATTAAATTGGAATCTACTAATAAAAGTTACAAAGAAGCAAAAACCCCATCGACCATGCAATGCACACACACAAGAACAACTCAAGACCCAAGACCCAAGACGACCCAAATCTCATAGATCCTTCTTGACCTTGACATCAACCTCCTCCTCCTCACTCCAATCCAACAGTTCCATAATCTGATCCCGACTCAAATCCTCAGCGCGCTGATCCTTCTTCACACGCTTGATATAATTCTTCTGACGCTTGCGGGCCATATCATTCCACTCTGGAACACCACTAGCAGCAGCCATAAGATCCTCCTCATCCTCAAGCTCATCTTCCGTGTTATCGACTTCACCAAGGACTTTGCCCTTTCCACCATCGCCACCAGCACGCAGCGAGTTGGGCGACACCTTCACTTTGCCGAACTGCGCCTTCTCCTTCTCGCGCTGCTCCTTCTCCTTGCGACGGTCGCGGTCGTGCATCCATTTAAACGTCTTCTCAATGTACGGCCGGATAAGTAGGTAGAAGATAACGCTGCCGATGACTTTGGTCCAGCGCTTGCCGCTCATTTGCGCGATGGAGGCGTAGCCATTTTTGAAGAAGCGGGTGACAACCAACTCGAAGAAGGCGTACAACTGGGCGAAGAAATCATTGGCGGCTTCTGCGGCCTTTTCACTTAGGTCTGCCTGGGGCGTGGACATGGTGGATGATTAACCAGGTTGGTTTTTTTTGGGATCTTTTGGGTTTGGTTTTGGCTGGAGGGTTTGAAGGGGGAGACTGGAGCTCGGTGGCTTCCCGCGGAACAGGGTGGGAGGTTGTAGAAGGTGACAGTCAGAGGTGTAGAGAGGGTTTATGAAAGATTAGGAATTGAGGGATTAATTGACGGGATCTGCCATTGCTTTACGCTTCTTCGATATTCCGCGGCTCCCGCAAATTGTTTTGGGTTTAGCGTGGTCTATGTGCCGGATTAGCCGTTAATCCGCGGACGCGTCGTTGGCCAATCAGATCTCATTCGTTTTATATAGGGACGCGCTCGGCTTGTTGTCTTGCACTATCTCACCACCATGGAGCAGACTGAAAAGGCTAGTCTGGAGGAGGTCAGTGCTAGTAAGATGCTGTCTTATGCTTGGCTAACTCTCTCTTTTGTAGCGCTTGAAATCCGCGCTGTGGTTATCCATTGGCAAGATCGTGGATGAGGAGACTATCAAGTTAGGCGTCAATGCCACTCCGCAGTTCATCGGTGCGTTGACAGAGATGGTTTGGGCTCAAATAGGTATGTTTTATATCAAGTTCCCAGCTTTGTGTCCTTGTAACTAATTATTCGCAGAGACGATCAGCCAGGATCTAGAATCCTTTGCGAAGTAAGTAGGCACTATTGCTGCGAATGAGTAGCAGATTCTTCCTATTATTCCCGTAGGATATTACTACTAACAAGAAGTGTACTAACCTCATTTATGATCTAGACACGCAGGGAGATCTACCGTCAATGTGTCCGACGTGATGCTACTCGCTCGTCGTAACGAAGGACTGGATTCGATTCTCCGTGCTTTCATTGAACAAGAGAAGCAACGTCCGGAAGACTCCTGAACGGTGGGCTGTCAGCCGGGTTCGATAAGAAGACCCCGTCAACTACCATGCAGTCTCATGGGCCATTGCCGAGGGTTGCATCGCCCGCCCTTAATCCCGGGATTCCCAAACGAAGAAAAATGTGAGTGAAACGTGAGATTCCAACATAATTCATTGTTAAAAGACATCTCTAGACAGTGGGTATCTTGTATTGATGATCATATTTCTGACTTTTCTCCAAGAAGCTTGCTCGATTTGTACAGCGCTTTTACGCAGGCATCAACCAGCCCAAGCTTCTGCACTGTGGCGGTGATGCCACACTACGACCTACATTGGTTCGATATGATATGCCTTGTCCACAAGGCCCCCCTTGTCCGGGGCGATACCAGCCTCTTTATCCAGATCGGGATCACCCGTGGACGAATGTACCCGTGGTTCCTCTGGTTCCTCTGGCCAGCAGCTTATGTGGGAGACACGGGCTAGCCCGAAGTTATGTCGGATCGCAGCCTACGATCTGAGCAGATATTTGTTTCAATCCCCCTCATCCCTGTTGGACCATCTCTCTCTCTGATTACCCCGATGATATACCATTCCATACGCGGCAGACCCAATTTTAATCTTAAATATCCCGTACTTCGAATGTTTGTAATGTTTGTACTCGCAGCAAACGTGGCACAGAAGGCCCAGTGGAGTGGGTGTATACGTCATTTTCAACGTGGCGGGTTTGTACAATGGACTCTAGCCGCCATGCTTTGTACTCACGGCGGTACAACACAGCCACATGTAAGGATCAATGGTAGGTAAGTTACATAGTTAGGTTACTTGAAGGGACTGGGAAAGTAGCCCGTGTCGGTGAACGGGATGATACTAGTAGTGGTATATGGAAGGCATGTCTCGCATAGAAGAGTATTAAACTACTTTACACTATTGCTTAAGCAGCGCTAGTTTCAGGTTATTATATCTTTTTCTAACTTTATGTCAAGAAACTTCGATAATAGGTCGCATCGGTGGTGTTCAAAGAGAGTCGCCCAACAACAGTTGATAACGAGAATGTTGGAGTACACGGAAATATAAACAGCAAGAATTTCTATACTGCAGAATAAAACAATGTATGGATAATTTAAAGTGTAAGGGTCATCGTAGACAGATGCAATGTTGAAGTCTTGGCAATGTGGCTGGGACAGTTATTTATTTTTATTTCTTTCTTCACATGACAGGGTGGCAAATGCTCTAACCGGAGATAGTTAGGTGGAACCTACGTAGTAAGCCAATCCATGGAACTGACATCACCAAGTGGGGCCTTATGGGGTCATTTAGAGTGTGGCGCGGACGCGGACCATTGAGCTGAGAGCTTCTCCCAGGATCGACGTGCAACAGTGCCGCCCGCCATCCACTGATCGTCAATTTATCTTGCTCCCTTATAACTCGCTCAAATCCTGTTGCCTGAGTTTCTTTCTTATATTCTCCCCTTGACCTCACGGTCTTTACTAGTCACCTTTATACTCCGTACCCCACAAAACAAACCACTACTTCTTATACAGTATGGGAGCCGGCGGGGTAATCCTCCGGTTTTTCAACCTCGGTCTGCGTGTTCTGCAGTTCCTTGATGCTGCCGTCATTCTGGGAATTTTCTCATATTTCTTGGCGGTCTTGACCAGGAATGACCAATCCATCGCGACATGGATCAAGGCCGTTGAAGGCTTAGCAGGTGCAGCAACCGCCTACAGTCTGCTAGGCATCATTTTCACCTGCTGCCTGGGTGGTGTAGCCTTCTTTGCATTCCTGGGTGTTGCCCTGGACGTGTGCTTTGTGGGTGCGATGGTCGCCATCGCCATCCTAACTCGCGATGGTGTTGGCCAATGTACCGGAACAGTGGACACACCAATGGGCACGGGCAACGCCGACGATGACACCGTTTCCAAGGGTCTGAAATTCGGCATGTCTTGCAAACTGGAAAAGGTCGTTTTCGCAGTGGCGATTATCGGAATGTAAGTTGATCATGGATTACTGTTAATCAGTGTTATTTGAACTATACTAACTTATCGTCTAGCTTCTTCTACTTGATTTCCATCCTCTTCCAAGTCCTTCTCGCCCGCCACCACAAGCGCGAGAAGCGTTTCGGTCCCTCGCCCACTAACGGCTACACCCACGGTAGCCGCAAGGCCTTCTGGCGCCGTAACAAGAACAACCCCGAAGCTGGCGCCGTCGGCGGCGCCGATGCCCTGCCCGGCCACCCAACCCCACATGACGTCGAGATGGGTGCCGAGCCTAAGGTCGAGAAGGGATGGTTCAACTCTTGGGGTAAAAACAAGAACACCGCCAATGGTCAGGCTGCTGCCCCGGCTCCAGGTAGTTATGGCTATGGTAATTCAGCGTACACCGGCAACATCTAGGTTGCCGGTGTAGGATACTTGCTGTTTTTCCGAGTACCTTCGTCTGACTGGACTGGTGCTCTTGCGCTGGTCAATGATTCTATGACCCTTTTGTGTTATTTGAGAGCCAAGATACCACTGCTATGTTTGTGATTAGATTGGATTGTACAATATGATGGAGGATATCTGGCGAGCATACTTGGGTCTTTCGAGACTAGCTGGTCACGTTTTTTAATATTAATCAATATACTGCTTTATCAATATTTTTCTACAGTTCCGTAGCCTCGTCGGGGGTCTACTCTAGATTTGAACTTCATGGTCCTAGACGTAACATGCGACAATGGCATTCTGCCTCACTTTCCGCATGCGTCAATATATGGCAACATACCGGATTCGCTCATGTGGGCAACAAATGTCATGGGTTGGCTAACCAATCATACCTTGTAAACACGTTAAGAAGACGATAACAGCTTCGTATGTATTATCTGCATAATATACTAGAACGGAAGCTTATGTGAAGGGCAATAAATTGAATGATATGAAGTGGATCAATGCAACATAGGAGGAAGTAACTAAGGACACTAGATATTTGGATATCATGGAGTAACGCTTGGCAATCCAACGGTTTTTGTTGCTTTACGTACAAATACATAATTTTGTCCCTTTTTAAAATTTCCCGGTTCTCGCCAACGAGCTCGTCCAACGTCATGTAATGTGCAATATAGATGGAATGGCTGTTGTCAATCTCCTTTAGCGATTGGGATTTGATGTGTAACAGTTCCCTTGAAAGAACCTATTATCTGCGGGGAGATTCTGAGCGACACTGGCACATGGCTTTTCCATCTTCAACGCCCATCATGGGCGTGGAAACAGACAATCCTAGAACCCAAGCTCACAAGATTTGTCCTCTGGTACTCTTTCTCTGCACCGTGAGGCGAACGATGCTCCAGACATTTGCCCTCCGGTGCTCATTCCCCACACCGTGAGGCGAGCGATACTCCAGACAAACGATGCTCCAGACATTTGCCCTCTGGTACTCATTCCCAGCACCGCACCGTGAGGCGAACGATGCTCCAGACATTTGCCCTCCGGTGCTCATTCCCCACACCGTGAGGCGAGCGATACTCCAGACAAACGATGCTCCAGACATTTGCCCTCTGGTGCTCATTCCCCACACCGTGAGGCGAGCGATACTCCAGACAAACGATGCTCCAGACTTTTCATTCCCCGCACCGTGAGGCGAGCGATGCTCCAGACATTTGCTCTCTGGTACTCATTCCTAGCACCGCACCGTGAGGCGAACGATGCTCCAGACATTTGCCCTCTGGTACTCATTCCCAGCACCGCACCGTGAGGCGAGCGATGCTCCAGGACTAGGAGCCTCATTCCCCACACCGTGAGGCGAACGATGCTCCAAACATTTGCCCTCTAGTGCTCATTCCCCACACCGTAAGGCGAACGATACTCCAGGAATAGGAGCCTCGAACCCGCACCGTGAGGCGAACGATGCTCCAGACATTTGCCCTCTGGTGCTCATTCCCCACACCGTGAGGCGAGCGATGCTCTAGGACTGGGAGCCTCATTCCCCGCACCGTGAGGCGAACGATGCTCCAAACATTTGCCCTCCGGTGCTCATTCCCCACACCGTGAGGCGAGCGATGCTCCAAACATTTGCCCTCTAGTGCTCATTCCCAGCACCGCACCGTGAGGCGAGCGATACTCCAGACAAACGATGCTGCAGGACTGGGAGCCTCATTCCCCGCACCGTAAGGCAAGCGATGCTCTAGACATTTGCCCTCTAGTACTCATTCCCCGCACCGTGAGGCGAACGATGCTCCAGAATTGGGAGCAGACATTTGTCCTCTGGTACTCATTCCCCACACCGTAAGGCGAACGATACTCCAGGACTAGGAGCCTCGAACCCGCACCGTGAGGCGAACGATGCTCCAGACAAACGATACTCCAAACATTTGCCCTCTAGTACTCATTCCCCACACCGTGAGGCGAACGATGCTCCAGACAAACGATGCTCCAAACATTTGCCCTCTGGTACTCATTCCCCACACCGTGAGGCGAACGATGCTCCAGAATTGGGAGCAGACATTTGTCCTCTGGTACTCATTCCCCACACCGTAAGGCGAACGATACTCCAGGACTAGGAGCCTCGAACCCGCACCGTGAGGCGAACGATGCTCCAGACAAACGATACTCCAAACATTTGCCCTCTAGTACTCATTCCCCACACCGTGAGGCGAACGATGCTCCAGACAAACGATGCTCCAAACATTTGCCCTCTGGTACTCATTCCCCACACCGTGAGGCGAGCGATACTCCAGACAAACGATGCTCCAGACTTTTCATTCCCCGCACCGTGAGGCGAGCGATGCTCCAGACAAACGATGCTCCAAACATTTGCCCTCTGGTACTCATTCCCCACACCGCGAGGCGAACGATGCTCTAGGACTGGGAGCCTCGAACCCGCACCGTGAGGCGAACGATGCCCCAGGACTCGGAGCAGACTCTATAGGTACAAGGTCCCCTGATTGTTCCCGGAATTCTAACTGGAAGCGAGAAGAGGCCGGGAAAGGGCCTATTTCCAACCAGAGGAAGAACGCAGGTCAGTCATCGGCCGGGGCTTTCCATAAAATGACACAAGATAAGAACTGGCAGCCTTTCTAGGCACCAGGACCTTATGATTTGTCCTCGGAACTCATTCCCCGCACCGTGAGGCGAACGATGCCCCAGGACTCGGAGCAGATCTATAGGTACAAGGTCCCCTGATTGTTCCCGGAATTCTGACTGGAAGCGAGAAGAGGCCGGGAAAGGGCCTATTTCCAACCAGAGGAAGAACGCAGGTCAGTCATCGGCCGGGGCTTTCCATAAATTGACTCAAGATAAGAACTGGCAGCCTTTCTAGGCACCAGGATCTTATGATTTGTCCTCGAAACTCCGTACGAAAGTGCAGGGAGCGCCCAAGTCACCATTTTTGGCGCTTCATAATCTTTCAAAGCGTGTTTGGTACATATTGTGTCCGATTTCGATGACGTTTGGCGAAACTTTTGAATTGTGGAAGGCTCAGTACTAAAGCAGTATTCAAGAAGATCGTTTGTAACATGCGCGCAGGAGGTTGAAGAGAGCGAATCTGGTTGTCTGCTTCAACGGCGACGAGCGTTGTACCAAATGTCCTGTGTGTCTCTCCTATACACAGAGGCTATAAGTTGAAAGGGTCCTGAGTCGGGCACTCTTCGTGGAGGTAGTCAAGAAATCAAACAAAAGCAGACGCTGGTCTGGTCTGGGCCAGACGAGAGAACTCTCCGGGGCTTCTCTGCAGTGGAAGTTGGAAGAAATCCCGCACGAAAATTACACAGGCCACAAAACCAGCGGTGCAAATCTCTAGGAAGCTGTACCGCTGGTCGACCCGAGTGGTGACCAAACCATTTTGTCAGTCGTTTGGAAGGTGGCAGCTTCAAGTAAATATCTGACTGGGGAGTGTTTGGCGTATCGGTCGGGAGGTTGTTGGTATAGTCTCCCATCAATTTTAACGACAACCTGAAGATATGATGCATGATGCGGCGTATGATTCCAAGGCGGCCACCTCTATGGGGATTTAATGGCTTGTACGATCCGAATCGCGATTCGGATATACATAGATGGTCACTTTGTTGAACAAAGCAGTGAAGAATTTGTCAACTGCAAGCGATTGCAGCTGGTGAACTGTTCATGTTTGTGTACCCAATTATATTGCTCAGCTCGCCTTGGAGAATGTTGCTGGAAATTGCCCGCAGAAGGCTTGAAAGAGCGGATCTTGTTTCTGCTCCAAACATAGGAGACAAGAAATGACATAGATCGAGATGTTTCGTGACAGGAGTAATTTGGATGCCATTGAATTGCTTCTCGCAGAAGCGTAGGCCTCGATGTTAGCATACTGAGCGCCGTGTGCCACATGGATCGGGGGTGGGACTGATTTGCCGGGGAAAACACAGTCTTTGGAGGAAACATGGAGTAGAGATTGTAGAGCGTATGCGAAATGCGAATGTTGAGAATTGTCCTTTTGTCCGTAGCCTTTTGTTTGCCCTTCAAGCCACTCGTCGATAGACAAGACTGTGTAAGCCCCTGCAGAGCCCTAATCGCTCCTTCGTAGTATCATACTAGAAGGCGATGGAAATCAATGCTGAGCATGATCCTTTTGTTCGTTGGTCTCCTTTACTCTCCAAGGATCTCTTGAGAGATTAGACGGTGAAAGTTCCATAGAGATCCGTCCCTTGTATGCCACAAGGTCGACAGCTGCCACTATGGCCAGTCCAAAGGATTGGCGACGGCCTGAATGTCATCAGGCGTCACCTAGACTCGCTGAGGATGAAGGCCTCGGGACACAAGTCCGTGACCTTGCCGAATTGTAGTGCGAGCCATCCATGTTGTATCGCACGAGATCACCTGTCTTATATAGAGTACTGTGTTAGTATCTTGAAACTGTGTAATCACAAGAAACTGATAAAATGACCCTGCACTTACAGTCGGGCGTTTGATTCACCGGAATCATGGACCATTTGTCTCTTTCAATGAATACTGGTCAAAGCATTCACCTGAATATTGCTGTAAAGAAGATGGTAGGATGATAGGATTGTAGGTATTAAATTGGGAGAGCCACCAGAGTGGGATCTGTGCGATGACAGAGATTTTGGTAAATAAAGAAGAGGGAATTAGACAGAAGTCGCGCTTTTAACCGAAGCGGGGGCGGGAGACGCGTATCTCCGGGTATCTCCGTGTCGATACCGCCCCCGGAAGCCGGTTAGACCCGAGAGCCTAGCCCTAAGTCTATACCGCCTACGGAGGTCCATCCCAAAAGTTCTGTCCTATCTCTATGTTTTAGATGAAACAGCTAGTATGTTTTGGTCCTGTATCGTACCTTTGCTACTACCCCTCCCCTATTCTATTCTATTCTCTTCTCTTCTCTTCAACCTGCCTAGTTATATACTACCTGCCTGCCTGCCTGCCTGCCTGCCTACCTGCCTACCTGCCTGCCTGCCTGCCTGCCTGCCTGTCTGCCTGTCTGCCATGGGCCACGATATTGCAAAGCGCTTAGTTGTAGTGGCTAGTAAGGCCGCTGGTGTTAGTTCCGCTATAATTGCAGAGATTGTGGACCTATGAAAGAGCTCTTAATAAGGGCTTTGATCCTAGCTTACGTCCTTAGAATATCTCTGATGATATGCTTACTGACGCCCCTCGCTCTAGGCGCCCGAAGAAGTAGTCGTTAGAAATAGAAGATCGGGTGCTTATAAAAGTACGCCTTGATCGGTATAGGCGAGAAAAGACCTATACTAATATAGCTAGAGAGATTAGCCTAGAAGGGATTGAGATCTCTTCTACTACAATCTAGCGGATCTTAAAGAAAGCTAGATTACGAAAGACGAAGCCTACGCGGAAGCCTAGTTTAACTAAGGCTATACGTAGTTATTTCGTGGCTCAAGTTCAAGTCCTATGATGTTATTCAAGAACCTCGACAGCACGCACATGGAGTGTATAAGAGAATTACATAGTTCTCCGCGGATTGTTAAAAAGAGGGTATACCATAACCGAGGTTCAGAATTGAATTTAAATTAACACGCAGAATCATTAGATAGCTTGACATGACAATACCGTCAACATAGGGACATCAACTAACACATCGCTCAACAGGTCATGGATAAAAAAAAAAAGAACAACAGAACAATACAAAGCGCCTAATAACCGAGCTGGAAGGAAACATAAGCTGTCGAAGTCCGAAGACCGAGTATAGCGAGCGAAGTTTACTCGACTAATTCAGTCTGTGGACTAGTGACTTGAAATATCCACTGGGACGTACCCCAAAAAAGGAAAACAATCCGCAAGAGAAAGGAAAAGTAGAATGAAGCTCTTTAATGACGGGCAGTGATAACGCCCGAGCGGCAAATAGTACCAGCGGCGACGGGACCCATGAAGATGGGTTTTCCGTTAGTGCAAATGGCAAAGGAGAATCCATCAGGAGAGCAGATGACATCCCCAGAGTGACAAGACCATTGACCAACGTAGTCGACGAACTGGTTGTTGGATGATGCCTCGGTGGAGAGCACACGAGAGTCAGCGGCAGCGGAGGGAGTACTGAAGGCTTGGGCGATCTTGGATGCAGCCTTGGTGGAGAAAGACGAGCTGGCGGTGGTGGCCTTCGTCGCAGCCTTGGAGCTGCTGTTTGTGGCAGGCTTGCTCTCGGACTGGTCGCTGTCTTTTAGGAATGGAGCATGTTCAGAGCATTTGTAGCCTGGGCCGTCAGCTTTGCCAATGAGCTTAGGACCGGGCTTGGGGAAGTGAACGGCCTCGCCCTCAATTGTCACGCAGTCGCCAGCCTGGCCAACATTGGCGACAAAGATATCAGGGAGACTATCGAAGCTGCTGTCGGCATTCGTGGTATGGGTGTTGGCCTTGTTGTTGGGCCCCTTCTCGGTGGTCTTCTCGTTGAGCGTCTGCTTGGGGGCCTCTTTGGCCTCACGGTGCTCGGAATCGAGAGTAGCGCTGCGGTTGCTGGAGTCACCGATTGTGACCATAGCACAGTTCATATACATCTCGCGGTTGCCAACCTTGTTGAACCACGTCCAAGCGAACAGAGCATCGCCGCTTGGTGCGTCCGAGGGTACATCGAATTTGTACTTCTTATCAATAGGGCAGTCACCCTCGATCGACTCAATGACCTTGAAGGTCTTACCCTGGTCATAAGTCAGGGCAAGCTGGCATGAGCCGCCGTCATGGACAGCACTCCCTTCCAGTGACATCTCTTGGGACGAGCCTGGGGCCCACGTATCCACGGCCTCAAAGTCATCATCGGCGTAGCCTTTGCATGGATAGTCGCTACCAGAGGTGGATAGGGGGTTGGTGTAAGAATAATCCTTCTGGCCCTTGGCGTCCTTGTTAAGGGGACTGCGGATAGGGTATGGATTGCTCAACTGCATGTGAGCCGAAACAGTGCTAGCCAAAAGGCCAGATAGGATCAATGTGCCCTTCATTATGATTTGAGGTGTTTCTATACGGCTTGTTAGTCTCATCCTGATAACTAGTGACATTGAGAGGAAAGAACGAGAGGAAAGAATGAGGCAGTCCCCAGCGCTTCACTTACAGTGTCTTTTTGAGAACTTTTGTATAGACTTTCGATCTCTTGATATGATGCTAAACACTTAACCACGAAGGTCAATTATAAGAGTATAGAGGAGTGGGAGAAGAGAATAAATTCAGGGTTGTCGACAGCAATTGGTATAAATATATGGCCAGTGGTCCATAACATTCCGCATAACTCCAAGGAGGAATGACAGATACCATCATGCTGCGGCCTTTGCCCATGCGATGATGGTTTAAATGGCCCTCGCAACGTAAAGAATGTCAACAAACCGTTGCCCTCCACCATCATACTATGCCTTTATCTTCCCATAAGAAAAGTCAACAGCAAATTATGATATCTCTCATAATTGATGGATCTGTATTCTACCTCAATACATCCCTTAAACAAGCCATACAAAAAGTCTCCTCGACCTTGTTTTGTTTAGATACCCAGGTCGCCAGCAAAGCATCTAGGAGAACAACACTCTTTGGTGGCAACGACTTCAGAGGCAATTTGGATTGTATACACAATGGGGGCACCCAGGGATCAAATGTGAAAAAAGAAGACACGGACTTCATTCCAAGCTGCATTAATCTCCGTGGGCTAGGAATCTTGACATGATGTCAGAAAGTCAGAAAGGCAAAAAGGGACGCGTCACAATTATTTCTGGCTGTCAAATGTCCGACAATCAGGTCCCGGAATAAACGCAAACTCCGTTCTGTGTAGCTCCTTTCTTCTCATCGTGGGCTGTGCAATACAGCCAGCTTGGGGTTCGACCTCAAGTCCGGGGCAAGCCCTAATAGTCCGTCGAACCCCTGTCTTCCTCCCCCTGTCTTCCTCCCCCTGCATGCCTACCCAGGGAACTAATCATGATTTCCTAAGCCAAGGGATTTGTTTACATCTACGCTAATCTATGTTTTATGAAGGTTTCTTCTAATTATATTCATGGCGTGGGCAAAAGCTTGTTGCTGCGCGATCCGCATGGTGCTCTTCGAGGTACACATTGCGCATCGCTCTATTAATTGAACACGCTCTGAATGAATTTCAAACATCGACAGTTCCAGTTGTCCAAGGATACTAGTAGTTAAATCAGATGGATAATTTGTCAATTTCTGTCCATTGGTTAGAAATGTATATAACTATTGTTGGGTTGAAAGATATATATTCATAACCAAAACATCCGACTGCTATTATTCCAAGCGGCCTCTACCACTTCTTCCATAGCAACGCCCTTCAAACCCGCCACAACTAATCCCACCTGCTCCATAAAACAACTCTCATTGCGTGTCTTGACCATTTGCCCCAAGATAAACTTGTTATGCTTCCGACTCGCCGGCAAAGGCCTCGCAGTTTCCAGATATCCCGTGATTTTGGGATCATTAGACAAGACCTCACACCACGGGGCATCGGTTTCCAGTTGCAACTTGTCCAATGGGATGCTTCTAACCATTTCCAACTGTTCATCCGTCCGGAACGAGACACCGTTCACACTAATCTCAAGACCTAGTTCCACAAGCTGGAGCATCTCCCCCTTCGTCCCCGCAAAAGAATGCACTAGCCCCCCACGCGGCAGTCTTGGCAGAAAAGGCTTGATGATGGAAATAAAGTCTTCAGCTGATTCACGAACATGCAAGAACAACGGTAATTGGAATTGCACGGCCAACTCTAATTGCTCGCGGAATGCACGTTGCTGCGTCTGCTTATCGGCCCGATCCAGGTACTCGTAGTCCAAGCCGATTTCCCCAAATGCAGCAAGAGGTGAGGGGTGCTCAGCCATAAGAGTTTCGCCCAGTTCGCGCAGCTCGTTGAGATACTGTGACTCGGGCTGTTCATAGATTTCGGTGGCATGGTAGGGATGCACGCCTAAGGTCATTTTGCACATCGTGGGGAACTCCCTCACTGCTTGCAGATTTTGTTTCGCGCCTTCCAGATTCATGGTGGTGAGCATGGTCTTTTCACATCCATGTTCTCGGGCTCTTTTCAGGACTTCTGCAAAATCTGGCTCGTGATACTGCTTTCCTCGGTAGATGCCTTGAAATTGGTCTGCAGTGAAAGTGACGGCAACCTGTCTCGAGTGTTAGTTAAAATTTGAGAAATAAGGAAATGAGTTTGCTCACATCGAAGAACTTCATTGTGATTTCTCGTATTTAATGGAATATCGCGATGGGAAGAAAAGGAAAAATCTTTCGTTCGGCGTTCTTGGCGGCTTCGGTCCAAATAGGACTGATATATATTGACAGTCACCTTTTTTTGAGGCTTGATAATGAAAAACTGCACCACAATTCTTGGAGTAGATCTTCGATCCAGATGAGATTAACAAATCGTTAAAGAAAACGACATGGAAATGTACCGATGTCGCGGGTGGGGGGTGTTGTTTCCCTTGTGGGCGAACCTCCGAGAGGGAAGAATGCGATATATATCTTATAATGCATCTATGTGACTATCAACTGGGGAAAATTGATGATATCTAATTACGAGTAACCTTGATTTCGCCAATTTCTCCTGACGCCGTTCCTGCAAGGACGCCGGTTCCGATGATCCCGCCATCACTGGCCTCCCGTAAAAAGACACTTTTCCCTCCTACTTGAGGACCAGCTCGAAGTAGCAGTCGATCAATATATCTCTGTACAGTTTCTTTATAGTGAGGATAATGTTGGATCACTCCACCCGAGAAAGCCACGGCGAGCTCCTCGGGCCCGCTATTCCAACCTGGCGTTGACGATGAGATTGAGTCGGGGTCTGTTTGTTCAGAACCTCCAGCTTCCAGTTTGACATTTTCTCCATTGGTGCAATTGGGCGCCGTGTTGTCTAGTTGGACTTCATTAGTGCAGGCTAGCAGACCGACAACCGCAGATGCCACCAACGAGGCTGCTCGATCCTGTACAGCCGAGGAAATGGCTCGAATATCACGGGCGTATTCAGGCGACCAGGTCCAATCACTCTCAGGGGATGGTTGAAGTGTCTTGGCCAACTCGCTTGCAAGGCGTTCATCGGACAGAGAAGAGGCAACAACAAGGGAGAGGTAGTCTGTTGAGAGAGAATACTCCTCAACCAACTTCAGCGGTAATTTAGAGCGCTGTATTCCCAAAACTTCATGAAACCAATCATAACAGACGATGCGGACAAGCTCGCCAGTGTATCCGCCGCCGATCATATATTCCATTGGCTGGAAACCAGGTCTTTTGCAATTTCTATCCAGCTGAAGGTCCCACTTAGTTCGAATACCAAGCTCATCGAAAGAAGCCGCTGCAGTGGAGAGAGTCCATTCAGTCGAGATGAGCGTTTCCTGTGCGTCGGGATGTTTTTCAAGAATGCTTTTAGTTTTGGATTCATGCAAATCGGCAAGTTTCATGGGAACTGTCGTGTTGCATCCCGCGCCCACGATCAGACCCATAACAACACGGGTGTTGGGCAAGGAAGGGATGGAGTACGCCAGTGAAGCAAGGGTCGCTGTCGTATCATTGATCATCACTGCGACTTTCAATTTAGGAAGAGAGAATAGCCTGCGGCGTTTAGCAGGCATGTTCATTTCATCTCCATGAGTTGAATATGTGTGGCGTTCATATCCATTGAGTAAGGCTTGGCGGAGATTGAGGTCTGAGTTTAGAGAAAAGCCTTTCCCTGTCGGCATCAAGATGGCTTCATCGAGGGAATCTTGTCTACAATGGGTTAGTCATAGAAACGCATGGCCGAGCCTGAGGGGATAGCTATACTTTATAGGCAGACAAAATGAAATGCCCGTCGTTATTTGATCAATTCGCTCTTCACTTGGGTTGGCCAGTCTGTCTGCTACCACCTCGGCGATACAGTCTCCAATCCATGTGAACAGGTCGATAGAATGATCCTTTCGTAGATGTTCTTCAATAGGCCATGCTTTCTCTAATGTGCGCCGTACGCGTGTATGTCCTTCGACATGTTGATCTCCTAAGAGGTCGATGAAGGCCACCCGAAGGTAGGATAGACCAAAATAGACAGCAAGATAGCGTCCCGTTTCATGACCTGTTGGAAGACAGGTAAGAGCCGTTGGAATAAAGTGTTCTGAAGATTCCGCAGCCAACTTTTTATAAGACGATGACAGCCGACATGATAAATCATACAAGGTCTCGAGTTCAACCCGGAAAGGCTGAAGGAACTCCTTTAGATTATGTTTTTTTGAGGAGATCTGGGAATTTGTAGCCATTTCAACTAGGAAATTCTGATGTGACGTGGCTTTTTTTTCCTAAGATGGAAAGGTTGAAGACTTGGGAAACATCCCAGGGTTGCGGACAAAACACGCGCTGATAGAGAGGTTACCACCACGTGACCGGCGTTTATCATAATGCTACAGTACTTTTTATGATTTATACAACTCGATGGTCGACAGGGTTCTGTGGTATATACTATTACTTCATTTTTGCCGTTTTTGATAGCTTTTTATATCATCATTCGGCCTCTAGGGTTCCATGTTAGCTTCAGAATGCTGCCATTCAACCTTCAATATGGTTAATGGGCGTTTTAATTAGAAGTGAAAAATGTACTTGATAAAGTTGAAAAAAAAAGGCAGTGAGGCTGGAATTAGATAGAACTTATAAATCCCCTTTTCTGGACAGGGATAGCTCTATATATCTGCTAAGATATACAATATCGGGGTTACATTCACCAGTTGTTTCCCCGCATATTCCATGGATGTCTCATATAGCCCCTCAATCTCACGCTTCTCACTGTCACCTTCAACCTTTTCAACCTTGGAAGTGACACCACCAGAAATGAACAGAAGTGAGAGCTCGAGCCCGTCACCTTGGTCACCAACGCCAGACGAACCTGAATACCAATATACGCCCGAAGCTACACCTTCAGAGACCGACGAAACTCCACCTTTGCATGCAGTAAACGTCGCACCAAGATGGAACGAATCAAAAACAACCATATGGAAGGTGACTGCGACGTTTTGGTGTGCATTTGTGATGGGATCCAATGACGCTGCATATGGAGCAATCATTCCCTATGTTTGTGTCACCAACTTAGCTTTGACCTGATCGTGCTGTATAGATTAGCTGACTACCTTACTTGAGCCTTTCAGCTAGAGGTTTACTATCAAAAAAACTACACGGTCGTTTCCCTGGTGTTCCTTTCACCTTTTGTGGGATATACTGTGTCCGCTATCCTGAGCAATGTAATTCATCAGACTCTCGGCCGACGAGGAATCACAATAATCGCCCCGACTTGCCATGTGATTGCATTTGCAGTCATATCTACCCACCCACCCTTTCCAGTCCTGGTGATTATGTATATTCTGGTTGGCTTGGGGAGTGGATTTCACAATGCGGCGTGGAATGTATGGATCGGGAACATGGCGAACTCGCATGAAGTACTCGGTTTCTTCCATGGGTTCTATGGCGTGGGGGCCACGATCAGCCCTCTCGTTGCTACGAGTCTAATCATCAAAGCTGGATGGGAATGGTACTCTTATTACTATCTGATGGTATCTCGGTTCTCTCTATAACCACTGCTGGATATCAATAAACTAACGATCATGTATAGACTGGAGCAGCTTTTATCGCCCTCGTTTACTCCACTAGCGCCTTTTGGGCTGAAACTGGGAGTAAATATCAAGAAGAGAATCCCAGTTTCCCTGGGAGAGGAGGAGTATTCGCTCAAACACGCCTTGCCCTCACATATAAGGTCACCTGGATATGCGCCGTCTTCCTCTTTCTCTATGGCGGAATTGAGGTAGCAATCGGTGGTTGGATTGTTGTTTTTATGACCAATGTCCGACACGGCGACCCGTTTGAATCCGGAATGGCAGAGACAGGCTTCTGGCTTGGAATCACGGTTGGTCGATTCGTGTTAGGGTTTGTATCACCACGTATTGGAGAGAAGTTGTCAATTGCTATATACATCTTGCTTGCAATTGCCCTTGAGCTAATCTTCTGGCTCGTGCCTGAGTTCGTCGTGTCCGCCGTTGCGGTTGCATTTGTTGGATTCTTTTTGGGGACTATCTTCCCGGGAGTTGTGATTGTGGCGACACGATTGCTACCGAAGAATCTTCATGTTGCTGCTATTGGATTTGCGGCTGCATTTTCTATGGGTGGTGGTGCTGTTTTCCCATTCATGGTTGGTGCCATTGCCCAGGCTAAGGGGGTGACGGTGCTGCAGCCAATCTTGCTTGCCATGCTGGCTGTCTCTTTGGGAATTTGGGCAACGATTTTCCGACTTCCACAGCACGAGGTATCACATCAAGTCTGAACAGAAATAAATAAATAGAAACGGTTGATGCAGTGTAGTTTATATTACTGGGCTGTTGCTTCTAAGCTTAGAAGCAACAGGAGCATACGGTGTGGAAATTGGCGAGGACTTGCTGTTGTATCTCATCATTTCCTTTTATTTCCCTGATTTGTTCTGTTTATACATATCAAAGTATTACTTACATTTGGAGTCAATTAAAACCACTTGGTGCTCAATCGGATTGCTCCTGTACACCATGGAACAATTTAAGCATACCATGAGCAGCATGCTCCCCGAGCATATACAGAGTGCCCATCCCCATCAACTCGAGGACACTGATATCAAACTCAAACGTCGCCTTCCACCACTGCTTCACCTCAATTGCCACGAGAGAGTCCATTCCAAGCTCGGACAAGGAGCAAGATGTCGCCAGGTCTTCTTCCGGCCTTAGCAAGAAACTAAACACCTTCTTTCCAATTTCCACAGCAAGCGTTTGAGCAGAGTCGGGTTGGCTTAGTAGCGCGGCATCGCTCTTAGCCTGTGTGATAAAGGCCTCCAGGCCAGTATCAGAAGTAGAGGTCAAGGTGGTACCAGGTGCTCCAGTATTATGGAACACCGACATTCGTACGTCCTTCTTCCAGATCAAACGGTTTCTTTGATCGGCCAGAGGCATGTTGGGGCGAATTCCAACGCAGAAGTTGCTTGCTTCGGGTCTCGACTTATCCGTCATAGGTGTCATCGCTGCCTCTACTGCGCTAAAAAGCTCGCTCACTGAGACTGTATTCCCTAAGCCGCCAGCAGCCTTGAGCTTTTGTATAATTTCCTCCTGCTCGGCAGCATAACCTACTCCCTCGACGGGACCGATATCGATAGCGCAGGCTGGTAGTCCCAGACCCGATCGATATTTTGCAAACGCGTCTAGGAAGGT